CCCGCCCGGGGGGCGCCGGGGCTATCCCGCTGCCGGCTTCCCCCACGACTTTGCAAAGCCTCGGGGAAGCCGGCAGTGGAGCAGCCCAGGCGTGCCTGGGCTGCCTTGCTGCCCGAACCCCTCCGCAGCTTTGCTCCGCGTCTTCCTGGTCTGCAGACCAGGGAGACGTGGAGAAAGCCCCGGAGTACACGGGCGGCAGGACCGCGAGGTGCCGCAGTCCGTGTCCTCCAGGGCGAGCCCCGTTCGTAACTGCGGATCCGACATAAGTCGGATCCGCGTAAGTCGGTGTGTGTGTGTGTGTGTGTGTGTGTGTGTGTGTGTATGTATATATGCAACCGCACTTAAGTTGCGGCCCTCGGCATGTGCTAGGAGTATCATTGTGGCTCCCGGGCCTTCCAAAGTTGACTAGCCATTGTGTAGATTTTTCATTACATGGTTGCAGGATTTCTAACTACAATTAAGGAGCTGGGTTTTGTGAATATCACATTTTCATAACTAATGGGAGCTAGAGCTCATGAAACCAACGAGCTGATCAAAAAGTGTTTCTGGTTATCACCTAGTTTTTTCAAAGCTGCAAAACTCATTTCACTTTGCAATAATTAGAAGACATCGGTTGAAATAGGAAAGAACTTTGTCATAGAAATACTATAATAAGCCCACAACTAGGAACTCTCCACATTTGTGAATTTTATTGCTAATAATGTGGCTTTTGGTCTAATGACTGTTTAATATTTTTCTAACTACATAAAATGCTGGGGGATTTTGTGTTTTTCATCTTGGATATGCATTGTGATCTTAGTAACACAGTTTTTTCCTTTATTTGAATTTAAGATCAAGTATCTTTCATCAGATGTTGAGGGAAAGTATAGTTACTTCTGTCATTTACAACAGTAAAAGAAGTCTTGATTGAGATTTACCAACAGTAGCTAGATTAGCATGATCATACAAATTAGGATTAACAAAATAGCCCATAACAAAGTGAATGTTTTTGATGTTTTATTAGCTGATTTTGAATTTTTATCTAAAATAATTTTCATGGGAGTGTGCCATTTTTTTCTTTCTTAGATTTTCCATATCTTCTGTATCACTATTTAATTCTTTGTGATTATCATGTGGTGTTTTTCACATTCATTCTGTGCAACAGAAATCACTTTTTAATTTACTAAAATAACTGGTTTGTCCACTAGGTGTCCTTAGTTTTATTAAATAAACTTTACCAAATTGTGGTGGTTGGGATGCAAACTAACATTTATTAATACACTAGATATAAAAGTATATAGCATTTATTTTCACTTTTTAGTAGTTCTGATTCTTGCATTATTGGCCAGTTTTCATTTATATACTTGACGTTAATTGCTAAATTAAGATCTATAGTTTTCCACCACCAACTGAAGTAATGTGGAAATTTCAGCCAGTCACACTTATTTTTAGTTCTACAGCAGGTGTGAAAATGTACTTTTAAAATGTAAAGAGTGATAAATTGAATGTATTGAGTCAAAGAATTGTGGCCTCAAAAATTAATATTATTGTTGTACTAAAGAAAAGGTAACATTCTAGAGCTTCCTGATTCTCATTGTTCATGGTTTGATATTTTCTTTTTCTTTTTTTTTTTTTAAGGGTACTAAGCTTAGAATTAAATAAAGATAGAGATGTGGAAAGAATCCATGGGAGTGGTGTTAACACCCTTGATATTGAACCTATTGAGGGAAGATAGTAAGTAAATTATACTATTTTATGATCAGGTATATTTTATAGAATGTATTTGAATACATAGTTTTAGTCTTAACGTGATTATAACTAACTACTTTGCTGAATGTAAACCTTCATTTATTTTGAAGAGATTGTGAATGTAGGCTATCTAAGCTCATCTTATTTTTTTTGCTACAGCATGTTATCAGGAGGATCAGATGGAATAATTGTACTTTATGACCTTGAAAACTTCAGCAGAAAACCATGTTATACATGTAAAGCAATTTGTTCTGTGGGCAGGTACGTACCTTTTTTTAAACAAATCACTATAAAATATTTTAGCACTTTTTATTGTGAATTCAATGCAGAATATACAAATTGTTGCATATTAGTATTATATTTCCTGTATAAAACGGATGAGTGTATATATAGTATCAGACAACTTTGATAAAATACACTGTATAGTATAAAGATTCCATAGCATACACAGTTAAAAGTAGAATATATCAATTGTGAAGTTGTAGGTGAAGTTTTGGTGGGTTTGTAAATGTTGGCTACTGTAGTTGTTACATTAATAATGCATGTAAAAATAAGAAACAACTGACAATCCAGTTGTCTAAAACTTTTCATCCAATGAGTTCAATACTATTAAAAGGCTGGATATATTTACAAACACAAAAATTGGAGTCACTCAAAGTTTGTATGTTGTCTATGACCTTAGAGTGTCAGTGACAGTGTCAGCAACAGAATCCCAGTCTCCTGATTTACAGTTCTGTTTTAACTTCTTCAAAGACATATGAAGGAAGACTGAAAGAACTGGACTTGTTTAGTTTAGAAAAGAGAAGATTGAGAGTGGATATGATAGTGGTTTTCAGGTATCTAAAAGAGTGTCACAAGGAGGAGGGAGAAAAATTGTTCTTCCTGGACTCTGAGGATAGAGCAAGAAGCAATGGGCTTAAACTGCAGCAAGGGAGGTTTAGATTGGACATTAGGAAAAAGTTCCTAACTGTCAGGGTGGTTAAACACTGGAATAAATTGCCTAGGGAGGTTGTGGAATCTCCATCTCTGGAAATATTTAAGAGTAGATTAGATAAATGTCTATCAGGGATGGTCTAGACAGTACTGGGTGCTGCCGTGAGGGCAGGGGACTGGACTCGATGACCTCTCAAGGTCCCTTCAACCCTAGTAGTCTATGATTCTATTAGAAAACACTGATTTTCTTCTCCTCAGTTTACAGATTGCTGCTGTGTGTAAGCATAAGGACAATAATGTACACTTCACTGTCTTTTAATAGACTGGAAAGAATCTAAAATAATTTGCAGTTACTTATGAAGTTGGAAAAACTACAGGTAGAACCTCCCAAATCCAGGACTCTCTTGTCTGGCAACATCTGTGCTCCATCAGGGCCACGGATTTTGCTGTAGCAAAAAAGCCCCACAGAAAGCGGGAGCAACACAGTGGCCAGCAGGGACAGGCAGCATTTGGGGAGCCCCCGCTATGGCTGGGCAATCCCAACATTAGCAGGGCTCGGAATCCTGGCAGACTGCTGGTGACAGCGGGGCTGGGTGTTGGGGCAGCCTCAGCCTCTGCTGGGAACCCCTGGCTGAAGCAGGGTTGACGGAAGCAACAGGGTGGGGAGCCATGCCAGGCCAGTGTTAGGGGTGCCAGCAGCAGGGCAGGCCACCCCAAAGAGAGGAGCTTGGGAGCAGGGCAGCCAACGGGAGCACTGACCTCCCCTGGTCCAGAAAACTCCCTGGTCAGGGACTGCTCAGGTCCAGATGGTGCTGGGCCAGGGAGGTCTAACCTGTATTCTGAAGATTCCAGACATAAATTATTTGTGGAATGATAATTTGGAATTTGCCAGGAGCATTTCCTGAATGAGGACAGTCCCATACAGGTTGAATCTCTCTAATCTGGCACCCTCAGGACCTGACTGGTGCTGAACCAAAGAATTTGTTGGACCACGGGCGGTTAATATTATGTAGCAGAATTACCAACACTTCCACTGCTTACTGGGCTCTTAGGAGACATTTAGGGGTAAATTAGAGCTAAACCAAAGCACAGAACACTGAGAGCTAGGACTGTTGGATGTAAAACTTTATGGGACTGCAGGAAACACACCCATGAAAAGTAGACATACAGCTAACTAAAATCATGCTGGACCATGGATGTTACTGTACCAGAGTGCTGGATTAGAGAAGTTAAACCTGTACTGGGAAAAGACAGGCCATAATTTTAACAATTCATTCTTTGGTATTACAACAAAAACTGAGACAACACTCAGTATATGTGGTACATTTACAGTAGAATTAATGCATCTGAATAACCTAATTACAGGTCCCCAATTATTTGTCAGAATTTTCCTGCAAGTCATAAGGATTTGTTCATTTTATGTATTCATTGTTGTAGCAGAAGCTGCCCATCCTTGCACCTAAGAAGCTGGACCCTCCCACAAGCGAAGCTTTTTTCTATGTCTCACAATAGAGGTTGTCCTTTCCTGCAGGAGTTAGTGACTACAGGCAGTCCCCGGGTTACGTACAAGATAGGGACTGTAGGTTTGTTCTTAAGTTGAATCTGTATGTAAGTCGGAACTGGCGTCCAGATTCAGCCGCTGCTGAAACTGACCGCCAG